TTGGAAATAACCACAGAGGAGTGTGAAGCGTTAGATATAGCCTTTTGGAGCAGCTGTTCTTCTTGGGCCTTGAAAATTGGTTGGACTTTCAAAGGCGATGGGATGGAAATGGAATGTTAGAGAGAGATTAACTGAAGGCCTGGGGGTCGTGAAGACCAGAGGTAGTTCAAGAAAAGGCAATTCGTCCAGGGTGATGTCAGGGTAGGAAGGATCCCCAGAGGAGAGTCGTGGGAATTACACCCCAAAGGTCTCGCTGGGAGGGCTCTGAATTCCAGAAGGAGAAATTTGAATTCCATTTCGTTTGTCATGGGAAATGGCATGGCCACCTGCGTATTTCAGAAGGCGATGTTTGTGACTATTCAGAGGGTGGATTGAGAGAAAAGGCTGGAAAGAAGGAAAACAAGGCACATGCATCAGCAACTGTGAGAGCTTTTACTGGGGCAGGGGAAATAGAAAAAGAGCAAGTGATATGCCAACCACACACATCGATTGTAGAAGGAAGATTACCACTATTTGGTGATGGAATGAGGAAGGGAGAGAAATACATGATGGTGATGATGATGATGATGATGATGGTGATGATGAAGAAACTGGCCTCCCTTCCTAAGCTTCTGTGATCCTATGACCTGCTAAGCCATAGAATAAAACTTAAGGTAGAGCTAATTGAGATTCTGTCCCATGGGAACTCAAGAATAATGCTTTTTAAATCTATCTTGCGTATTATCCCTATATCCTCGCTGCGTGCCTGATGACTGGAGAAGCCTGGATTGAGAATATGCACAGTATTTCATTATGGTGCGTGGATTATTCAATAAGAAGTGGAAGGCAGGTGTGTGGGAAGATATAGCTATTTAGGCTATGCTGGAATATGCATTATCTAGGTTATTTTTTCAGCTCTCTGTTGGTGATTGCTACAGAATGCTCTTAATTTCCTGCTTAGGTGACACTTAGGACTGTTGCAGGTTTGACAGATTTAGGAAGTGCTTTCTGGTCAGTGGGGGGCAGTGTCACATAGCAGAAGGGACACAGATTGCGTAGTCATAGGTTTACATGTAGTCAGTTCCCTGATAGTATGACTGTCCCTTAATCCTGGGGTTCCCAATCCTGTGTTATCACATCATCTTTAAAATCACCTGGGATTTTCCTTGTAAAATACAGTTTTTTATGCCCTATCCTTTGGAGATTCTGATTCAGTTAGTCTAGACTAGGGCCCTGAAATAGGTGTTTTCCTTTTTCTTTTTTTTTTAACATTCTAGCTAATTTTGATAGTTAGCTAATTTTGGGGAACTAGTGATTTAATCTTCCTGAGTCTCAGGTTTCACAGGACTGCTATAAACATTAAATGAGAAAATACTTCTGGGTTTAATAAACTTCCAATCACCATAAAATATCAGTTGGCAATTAGGTTACTTCTTGGAATAACTTCTCTCTTTCTTTTTAAAAGGCTTCTTCTATTTCTCATCAGTTTGAAGCTTGACTATGTGAGAGCATATTATATTTGTTGGATGTTATGCATTGTGATGGCAGAGAGAAAACCAATGGATTCTGTCCAATACATACACACAACACATAATATATTGGATTAACTGTATGCTAGTGTTAGATGTTGAAGAGATGATAGAAAGTAGAAGACCCTTGATTGAATTTTTGTTAAATCTGAGAAATCAATGCCAATTTTTAAAAATGTTGGGGAGAATTAAACAGAGACTGCTTCTCTATATTTTTAATACAAAATTCACGTTTATTACCAACACTGTGATAATTTAATTTACAAATATATTCTGGCTTCCCAGTATTAAGAGCAACAGCTTAAGTTAAATACATTGTTCTCTCCTTCCTTTCTTTCAAACCAAAAACAATCAAACAAACAAAACAACACGAAGAAAACTTTGGTTCAATAATAGCAATGGTAATTTCAAAACACATACTTTTCAGCGGTCCAAGTGAAAGAGATCTCAGCAGCTCAAGACAATTCTCTATATAATAATATAATGCAGCATAAATGTCAGTTGTCCTTGAAGCTTATAGCCTGTCTTAATCAGTTTTAAAACCTATATTCACAGCCTGTGTAACTAGAGTTCCCCGGCCTTGTCAGTTTTGAAGGGTTTCCTGGGACAGAGCTCCACTGGGTTTTATGATGATAACACAATGTCACCTTTCTTCTATTGTCTCTCAGTTTTCACCTCATGCTCCTTCAACCCCGTGCCTGGGTAACTTCTATGTTAATCCTTTCGAATCCTTTGTTCGTTTCCTGGGTCTGACGTGTCACCCCAAAAGGTCAGACTGTTCCCCCAGGGAGCCATCCGGGCACCTTCCTTTTGTATTTGATTCCATCTTTAATTCCCTCCAGCCAGGAAATGGTCACTTTAGACTATTAGCTTGAAGGCCATTCAGGAGATTTAAGTAGATATTGGATTTGAGGAACCTGGGATAGGAGTCCTTTTCCATCAGAGAGTACACAAGTTTTTGGGCTTCATCAAAACACGTTGGAGTTGGTGCTTTCATCTTCTTGGCTGTAGATTCTCGAGTGCGAAAGTCAATATTGATCTAAAAAGAAATCCTCATCAGTTAATATGCACTGCCAGTATATTGTAGAGTTTATGACATCACTACGCTTTTTGTGGCACCTCAAGATAGTGAGTGGCGTCCAGCCCACATTTACATCAGTTCAAATGTGTCTGGAATGCCTAATCTGAACCGGCCCTGTCCTAGTGTGGAGGAGTTGAAATATCACAATAAAGCCTGCTCCGACTTAGCTCACCCTGTAGCTGGGAGATACAAAAGAGGCAGATGTAAAAAATTCAAACACCCATACAAGGTGACACAGGCATCAAGAAAAGTGAGATGGACATTTAAGGTTTATAGGAAGACAGGGTACTTTGTGCAGCTATGTTTTGTGAATATTTAACTGGAAGGTGGATACTTCTACTAACTGGAAATATTTTTGCTGTTGCTATGGTGTATGTATTACACTGTTCTGTATTTTATCTTCATCCAAGGTGAGCTAGCTCATTGAGAACTCCCTGACATTCAATTCTGGCCGGTGACGCTACAATTCCTTACCCCACCTCTATCATGTCAGCTAGCTTTGCAGAAGCAACCTTTCATCCAATCTTGTCACAAATATAGAAAATTAGGTTACCATTGCACCAAACTACATGTATATACCTAAATATATAGCAGTGAAGTCATGATAACTTATAAAGGATTTCACCTTATTATGTATGTGGAATGTTATTTCTGCATCTAATTTCCTTTCTATATAAACTGATGAAAATGAAGGTAAAACTCACTTGCTTAGCGGCGTCGGAGTGCACAAAAGCTTTATATATTTTCTCTGCTTTGTAATGCAAAAGATCAGACTCTGTTTGTTTGTAGTCTTCACAAGCCAGCCAGAACTCGATATTCTCCTCACTGAACTCAGACTTTAGGAAACGTCCAAAAATGACTTGACCAGCTGAAAAGAAAGAGTGAGAGGTGAGATACTTATATTAATTGAGCCAATAAATGAACAACTCGAAGAAGAAATTTGCAAGAAAAATACTGTTGCACTTTCTATGTGCAAAGGTCAGAGATGGCTGCTGCTAAAATAGATGTGTCACAGTTGGTAGAAGTGGGAGGGCCTTAGAGATTCCTTGATTTACAGGTTATCTGAGGCTACGCAAATTTGTCCACAGTCAAAGAGCTGCCTCGTGGTGGCTACGAAACTGTGTTTTTGCTTCTGTCTGCTAAGTCAATGAAAATTCTACTCTCCTGGTTACAAAACGACCTCTTTTCCTATATAAAGTATTTCAGAGAAGCAGACATTGACAGAGGGCACTAACATCATGTTTATTGTTAACGAATACAATTCCCCACCCAGTTCATATGAGTTGGAAAAAATGAGGCCTATATGTGACCTATGCGTGACACACTTACTGTATTTGCTAGCGTTACTGCGACTTTCACATGGGCCATTTCTGTGCCGTTTGTTTGGCTGAATTGTAAGCTAAGTCAGATAGTAAGATGGATGAGCCAGGTTGAACTGTCTGATCCCCAAGCAAGGCTTCTTAGGGGGTTTGTGAGGAGAAGAGGGTAAATTCACCCTCTAGGGAGACATACAACTCATCCACGCCTCCTAATAGGGCCCTTCTGCCAATGGAGGATCAGGGCCATGATGAGAGTAGGGCAGGCTGATGTCACTCTTTACCTGCTCCCATCACAGATGCCCCAGGAGCCCCTGTGCTTGAGAACTGCTTTTATCACGTGTGTGTTATAATGTGTGTTATGTTATATATAATGCAATTATATGCTGTGCTTTTAACTGCCTTCAGGGCAGCCAGGCACTGTCTTTGTTTTGGAATCCCTGGTGCTTCTAAAATGCTTGCTGCATGAAAGTGGGCTGAACGGGGGAGCTAATGACTATGTGAATGACAAAATAATCAACTGACTGAATGAATCCTATTCCATACATCCAACGGGGCAGAAATACATTCTTTAGGTAGCTTTCAGAACAGCAGTTCACATGTTGGGAGGTTTGGTTTAGTCTCAAAGACATTCACCATCAGAACCCCAGCCTAGTTTTTAATTTTACTGCTACAGTGATCCATGGAAGCACCTAACTGTCGTGGCAAATTCGCCAGTGGCAGAATTGAGAGCTAAGTGGACTTGACACAACAGCGAGGCATCACAGGCTGAAACTACCAGTGACGACAGCAAAACTAGCAGTCAGCTTTTCACATGCTCTCCTCCCCGGAACACTGTATCTTAATGAAGCCATGCAACCCGGTTGCGTATTGAGCGAAACAGACGCATTCAGTAGTCAGTCTATACTCACTGTGGTTGGCGAGGAGTTTTTCCAGGGACTGCGACCACTGGATTACTTCATCAGCAGAGAGTCTGTGGGGGGCAAGATGTACATAACTTAGTAAAACAGAATTTTTCATAAGCACCAATGAAATCAGAATGGCCTCTGTGTCTTTATAACCTTACAAAGCGTTAGACTCTAGTTCTAATACATTATATTAAAATGCATCTACAAGAAAACAAAATTTGCCTTAGAATCCCAACCGAAATGAAATTGCCTATAGAATTGCTAGATGAAAATATCTGCCAGTGAAATCTGAAACATCCAAGTACATATGCTCCAGCAGCCTAACAGAGAGCAGATATATGCAAACACACATGCTCTTGTTTAATTGACATTGGCATGAACATGCTAATCTCCGTAGGCTTCTTCCACCAAGGAAATGAAGTCCACTCTGTGCTGTATCAATCTCTTGCTAGCATACTGAGTGAAAGCACGGGCCATGTTTACAATGATAGTTCAATGTATCAGTGTACGTACATGTCCTTGGACTTGGAAGCCTTCATTCCAGATTCCAAATGTGGGATCATAGATCTCAGGTACGCTTTCATGTCCATCCCACTGCAAAAGACACACAAGTGAGTATTCCTATTCCCTCAGATGAAAACGTTTCATTTGTACAGAGAAAAGAGAGGCTGAAATAAACTTCCCCAAGGACTAAGGCAATAATAAAAAGAGCTGCTGCACCATGTTATTATAATAAAATTGAGCCAATTTAAGTCTGGTCAAATTCCCACCTACTGTAATTCATGTTTTAAAACAACTGAATATACTGAGAACTCACAACAGCTAATTGCTTGGATCTAGCTAACCTGATCGGTCCTGTTTCCTTCCATTCATTCTCAACGCTTCCTGCCATTAAAGATAGTCTAAGCCAAAATTCACCAAGTGAGACACTGAGGGACTTACAAGGTCTTCGGCCTCCTTTTTTGCACTTTGTCGTCTAGAAGTGAATGATTAGCTCCCTTCAGCTCCTTTGCAGCAGTGGAGAAGAACATCCCAGTCATTTTGTCTAAGTGTGGTGTGGAGATGGCTGCTGTCCGTATCATTCTCGCAGGGCAAATGTCTGTTCGGCAGTGCGCCTGCTGTTTTATATAGCGAGGGCAGACAGACTCGTGCTGTTCGGCAAGTCTGTTTATCAAGTGATGTTACCACAGACACTGGAAGTTCCCCCTTTCTCACTGGATGTGACGTGCGTCTTGAAAAAAAAAAA